CAGCATGAGTAGCACCCACCAGCATGTCTAAAGTGACAACATGCCAGAAGACACTAGACTTCACGGTTTCCCAGGGTCTCACAGCAAGCCAGTGGTAGCCTTAGACACCGACGCATTTTCATTCTCTTGAAGACAGACACCCCTCCTCTGCCCCTCCACCTCACTGTCGTCAGCGCATACGAAGTTGGGTAGGATGCTACATTATCCAGAGGTCTTGAAGCCCCACAGCATTGCGCCAGTGGGAAAATCCTCTCCAATGTGATGATTTATTCGGAAGGAGAGTGGAGAGAAAAAAAAGATGGAAGGAAGCTGCACAAAACATGGCCAAACAGCTGGCCGATTTTATATCCCAGAAACAGCTTGGGACTAACTAGACTTACAAGCTCTCTTGGCAGAAGATCTTGATGAAAATAGCAAAGCTGTGAGCAACAGTGTTCCTTTGCTGGATCCTTCATGTAGTTATCACATGGCTTACTAACCCGGAGGAGAATGTGCACACCATTTGTAAAGTGTCACTTTGTTTAAAGGGGGAACATACTGGTTCCATATGGAGTACAAGTGTAGTTCACCATAACATGAACACTGACTATCCTTCATAATCGTGGGGAACTTTAATCCCAGACATGTAATGATTTCCTCCTTTCTTTCAAATAGTGTTTTGTTGGAATTGTCCAAAGAGAACTTGATAAGATGACTATGTACTACTTAAAGCTCTACATAAAACTATTTAAATCTTAATCTGTCACTATTGAATGAAAAAAAGTTCTAGGCAACATATTCTCATTGGGTTTTAACTTTATTCATGTCTTCTTTTAGCTTTTAATGGACACTTCCTTAAGCAATAGAAAAAGATTAAATATATTTCTAGTTTGACTGTGAGTTGCCATACTATGCACATGTAAGATTTGCTTTTCTCTTTTACAGTTGTGTACATTAGAGTCCACAGTATTTTGAGATCTACTCTTTTAAGAGACCTTTCATTCTATCATTTCCCCAAATGTGTTAATTAAATGATTTATTATTTACTAAGCCACCAAGATAGATATGACGAGCTGAGAAATTTCCTATTTTTACAGTGAAGGATTTGAGTTGATTCCCTGGGACTTCGTAGCTATTTTCATCTATTGGAGTTTGCCATGTTTCTTTAGGGACTCACATAACTTCCTGGCATTCAGTTTGTAATTGCTCTCAAGGATTATCTAAATGCAGAATGTTAGGAACGTAATATCATGAATTTCCATTTCTCTATCTCTGACACCATGGCACCATTCATCCTGTGATGCCTTGTGTGCTATTGTGATGTTAGAAGCTTTGCCATTAGTATTTCGAGTACAAACAGAGTCACCTATGGTGGATACGTTTTAGCAGTTTCCAGACTAACACTGGGAAGAAGGACTTGGCAATCTATTTCTTTTTTTTTTTTAATTCTCCAGTGAAAACCTTATTACAAGAAAAGTTGTGTCATCTGACTTTTTGTTGTTGTTAGAGGCCTTTAAGTTGGTTCCCACTTAATGTGACCCTATGTAGAACAGAAAGAAATATTGCTCCCCTCTTTGCAATTGTTCTTATGTTTAAACCCATGGATGAAGCCTCTACACCAACCCATCTCCTCTTATTCATGGTCCTGCTACTTTACCAAGGATGATGTCCTTCTCCTGGTACTGTCCTGTCCTGACCACCTGTCTAAAGTACACAAGTCAAAGTCTCACCATCCTCACCTCTAAGGGGATTTCTGGATGTGCAAGAGAGCTCTATTTTTTCTTTGGGCAGTCCACGGTACTTTCAGTATACTTCTCCAGCCTCGCAATTCAAATTCTTCTTCGATATTCCTATTCAATCCAACTTCCACATTCATTTGAGGCAACTGAAGTGACTTGTGTCAGAGGAACATTAGTATCAGTCCTCAAAATAACACCCCTACTTTTCAATGCTTTAACGAGGGCTGGTGCAGCAAATTTACCCAATTTAATGTATTGTTTAATCTCTTGACTGTTGCTTCCATGAGCATTTATTGTGGATCCAAGCACCAGTGAATCCTTAACAACTTCAATCTTTTCTCTGTTTATCTTGATGTGACCTATCGGTCTAGCTGTGAGGACTATTGTTTTCTGTTTTCTCCCCATTGAGTTGTAATCCATACTAAAATCTACAATCCTTGATCTTCATCAGCAAGTCCTTCAAGTCTTCCTCACTTTCGGCAAGCAAGGTTGTGTCATCTGTGTATTGTTGGTTATTAATAAGCCGCCCTCAAATCCTGAGACATAATTCTTCACATAAGCCAGTTTCTCTGATTATTTGCTCAGCATCCAGAGGGCATAAGCATGGTGAATGGATGCAAATCTGATGTATACCTTTCCTGATTTTAAAACTGGATTCCATGCAGTATATCCTTCTTCTGTTCCCACAACTGCTTCATGATCCATTTATACATTCCACAGCTGTACAATATAATATTCTTAGACCCCCACTCTTATCAAGGCTATTCATAGTTTGCTATGATCCACAAAGTTGCAAGCATTGGCACAGTCAATAAATCACCAGTAAATCTCTCTCTGGTAGTCCCTGCTTTGAGCCAGGATCCATCTGATGTCAGCAATGATATCCCTTGTTCCAGTCCTCTTCTGAATCTGGCCTGAGTATATGGTGGCTCCCTGTCAATGTATTGCTGCAACTGTTGTTGGATGATCTTCAGCACAATCTTTCTTTCAATGATATCAATGATATTTTTCAATAGTATGAGCTTTCTGTTAGTTTACCTTTCTTTGGAATGGGTACAAATATGGATCTCTTCCAGTCAGTTGACCAAGTAGCTGTTTTCTAAATTTCCTGCCATAGACGAGTGAGTGCTTTCAGTGCTTCTTCAGTTTGTTGAAACATTTCAACTGGTGCTCCATCAATTTCTGGATTCTTGTTTTTGAAGAATACATTCAGGGCAACTTGAATGTCTTTCCTCCATACACTATTGATTCTTCCTCATGCTAAATCTTGTCCATATGCCAAAGGTAAGGAAGCTGGATATTTTTAACAAACTCTGCAGTCTGAAATGGAATAATCATACAAACAGAATTTTTCAAAACGATTGACTTATTCACAGCAACTGTCCTTTTTCAACCATATAAATTGTTACTATTCCCATGGGATGTATCAGATGAAATAAACCGAATCAAGTCATCTCTATCTGTACATTACAAATGAGCTCTAGTGCTTTTCCTACACTAGGCCATATTTCCAAAGAAAAGTAATCCCACAGAAGCCAGAAATATCAGACAATAACCCCAATATCATATTCAAGCAACATCTTGCTGAAGAAAATTTTTTAAAAATGGTTTTGTCAATGAATCCAAAGAAACTGCTAGAAATTAAAGTGGGATTCAGAGACAGGAAATAAAGGAGTTCATTGCTGCTGTCAGATGGATGTTGGCTAAAATAGAGACTACCAGAAACATATTTACCTGTGTTTAATTGACAATGTAACAATACTTAAGTGTGTAGATCACACCAAAGCATAAATAATATTGTAAAGAATGGGAATTCCAGAACACTTAATTGCTCTCTTCAGAATCTTAGAGATCAATAGACAGTTGCTTCCATCCAACTAGGCCATTTAAAATCAGGAAAAAAGTGTGTGTTGGTTTTGCATTCTCTCCTCAGACTTAGTTCATCTGTAAACTGGAAAAATAAGCACTGCAACGGAGTACATGAAAAATGCAGCATTTGGATTGGCAGAGAACTCATCAATATTTTCCAACATGCTGGCAGCAACACTTGTTGACAAGGAAGAGGACTTGAATTTCTTACTAGTAAAGATCAGGCAGTACAACTTTCAATCAGATTACATATTAACATTAAAAGGACAAAAGTCCTCATAACTGAACCAATAAGCAATATCATGATAAGTGGAGGAGAAACTGAAGTTGTCCACATTTCCATTTTACTTGGATCCAAAATCAGCATCCATGGTAAGGGAAGAAAAGGATCTGCTACACAAGACATATTTTGAAATGCTGAAAAACACAGATGTCATTTTGAGGACTAAGGTTTGGCTAAACCAACATGCCGCCATATTTTTAATAGCCTGCTGTGCATGTGATAACTGGACAGTGAAGAAGGAAAACAAGAGAAGGCTGGATGCACTTGGATTATGGCATTGGTGAAGCATATGGAATATCAAAGGGACTGTCATAAGAACAATCAAGTCTGTATTGGAAGTAGAACAGCAGGGAGGCTCTCGCAGAACTTTGTGTTCTTGTGAAATCTCCAGGACAGCATGTGGGTCTGATGCTCCCATGGAGGGGGAGAGACTTGATATTTGATGTCTTTTTAATACAGAAAACATTATTATTCCATTTTATCATCTAGTGTAAATTATGCAAATTATTTCTATAGAAAATGTGTAATTCTGTCTATGTTTTCATTTGTTTTCATCGAGTGTGTTTTTCAGAATGGGTATGTTGTTGGCACATTTTTGTCACCATGATACATCACCGACTAACCAGATATCTATTGAAATCCATGTGGCTGTCGATTTGTCTGGCTTCTCTTATAATATGGTAAATTGTTTTACCTTTAGATTTTAAGGCTATCCCATTAGGCATTTCCAAGTTCAGGATTTTAAATTTCCCAATGTGTTTTTGTTTCCGATACTTTCTAACATTAAAAAAAAGTCAGTTCTATAGTTTCCCATTCGTCTCTAGCATACACCAAATTCTTAAATACATATGGAACAATAATTTTTTTTAAAGAGAATGCTTAGAAAGTAAAGTTGGATTCGAGAACTATGAGTTGTAGTATGTAGGCAATACCTATGACCTACACATGTGAGTTACAAGTATGTGTATCAAAGAGCCATAAAATGCCTTTATACTTTCATTACTTTTCAGCCAGTAAACATGAGCCAGCATCTGCCTGACTGATTGGGAGGAGAGATAAACTTTACCACTATAATAAACAAAGCTGTATATTTATTTTGGTTAATTCCATTGTTTTTTCTCATTGTTCAGATTCATATCTCTTTGATCAATGGAAGACCAAGTGCCGATGATCCTTCTCCTGAACTGCTGGAGTTTACCTCTGCCCGCTACATTCGCCTCAAATTTCAGAGGATCCGCACCTTGAATGCTGATCTAATGATGTTTGCCCACAAAGATCCAAGGGAAATTGACCCCATCGTCACCAGAAGAGTAAGTTTTGATAATAATTTTTGTATGTCAAAGTAAAATTGCATTAGTCAATTTAATTATTGTTCAAAGGATTAAACAATTAAAAATAAACCTTTTTTGATTTATAGGAATGATTTTTATCAGGTACTTTATATTGAAGGCCTCAGTTTAGATCAAAGTTCAGCTACTATTTAAGTTTGCAACATTTTCCAATGTGTTTTAATGTTTTAAAATTTCAGTTTCTTCTTAGTGAAAATGAGAGGTCACAGTGTTTAATCGCTCATTTTATTCTTGAGGACTAAATTAGATAATGTCTGGCTCTTCAGTTGGTCACTAGTCTTAGACAAAGTGGCCTGAGGAGCTAGTGATGTGCAGGAGCTTTGAAACATTTTTGGCGATAGACAACACTAAAATGCCTGTTCTGTCATGCTCCCGCACATATACGCATACACACTCACATACGTACATAGACTGAGAGAGAAAGGGAGGGAGAGGGATCGAGACTTTAGGGACCTGGAATCAGCTGGTAATCTTGCAGAAATGCAGCTTCTGATTCAGTAGGCGCAGGGCGGGTCAAGTTTCTTCAAGTTCCCAGGAGATGTTTATGTTGCTCATCTGTGGACCGTTTAGTCTAATCCAATAATTTTGTTTTATGTCCCATGAATGAGTCACAGTCCACAGTTTGAAATAACATTCCTTTAGGCAAAAACCAGAGTTCTCTGTGTATGCTGTTGTATTTTCCATTATGAGTAGATTATCAGCAGAAAAACAAAGGGTTATAGTACATATTCAGCGTATCTTTGCACAGGAGGAACCAATTTAGGTGCTAGTTCCAGTGTTAACCTGAAATCTACCAAATAATGGCATAGATTATCAGTCCAGGTTGCTATGAATTATAATGCTATGTCCTTTGCTGCCATGAGTCAAGGGACAACACAACAATATCTGACAATACATTTGTCTCCCCAGTCCATTTCCCTGGGTCACGTCACCTTTCTTATACAATGCTACACATCACATTGCCAAGAGTCTCAACTGAGTCATCACACCAGATAGCAACTTCGGGCCAATAGATTATCTACTGTATGACTAGAGGAGTAAGTGGGGAAGACGATGAGAGAACGGATTTAAGATTCTGGGACAAAGCACTTGGTTGCAGAGTAACCCTAAGTTCAGATCACTGCCACCAAATGCCAAATTGCTGAACTATTCATCTAAATGTTGACAGGTAACCAATCACAAGGTTTCTGATTACCCCCTGTATGAGTTCTCCCCTCATTAATGAACTCTTCCACACAGAACCTCCCCATTATCCGTTGTAGTTATCTCTGTACCACAGATTCTAGGTGTGTTCATGCCATGGATTTTCCAACACTGAAACAATCTTCTCTCGGGTTATGTTTTAGCATATTGTAAATGGTCATGTGCAGAGGTAATCATTATTTTATATTGATGCTTATGGTTCTTCATGCGTTTTTGAAGAAACACTTTTAGTTCTAATTTTGGCCTGACTCTGTAAACACACCGAGGAAGACATGGATCATATTATAGGGAAAAGGAATCTTTCCTAACAGTATAGTAATCATCAGAGGTGGAGGTGGGGGAGTGGGATCAATGTGGTGGAATCAATGACTATACATTACTATTCCTTTTTTCATCATTTTTAGAATATAGTGGTGGGGCATAGGGTACACTTCTATTATTTATAACTGCACTGTAAATGAGCCTATTAAAACAATGCTTTTAAACCTATTTTATCAACATATAGATATATTTTAAAAGTACTTATAATGAGCACACTAAGCACTTCATGAAATTTAAATATACAAAATAGGATACTGAGTTTCTGCTATTTGTCATGACTTAAAAGAGAAACATTAGACATTCATATTTAAGAGATATTTCACCATTTTAACAGCATCAACAAATACTCTATCAGCTTTCTGAACAAATAATTCTCTTTGGATTTAAATTTTTAAATTATATTAACTCTCTACCTAGTTCAACTGGGTATATTAAATAAGATAGTACATTAAAAAGAGTTTTAAAGGACTTCATGCATAAATAACAACACACAAAGGAAAAGATATGGAGGAGTTTTGAGACACACAATGGAAAACAGGGACTTACAGCCAAGAAATGCAGGAGCTCCCACCTACAGTGCTGTCTGTGGTTTACATTTACATAAATGCCAACAGTAGACATCTCTACCACTAAGGTGGCTATTTGAATTCCCCACACACAAAAAAGAACTTCTCTGACCATTACAAAGTGTCCTAACATATTAATTAGTATTTTTAAAGACTCTAGTTCTGTAATTATAAATAATCATTAAAAGTCCGGGTAGATTAAATGGGAACATCGGGCCACATTAACTTCAGAAAAGAAATAACGGCATGCATGTTTCAACTAACACTTGAAAAACAACAACAACAACAAAGCAAAGCAAATGGGCTGCACATCTACTTTCTTCCTTACAAAACTTTGTCAACTTTTAGTTAATTTCATCTTTCTGAAATGATTAACACATTTATTGTTATGAGCACACGTCCTCCTCAAGGTTCATTCTTTTCAAATTCAAGTTGAGGTTCTTATATTGTTCTTGCTGAACGAGTCAGTTCTGATTCATGGTGACCCTATGGACCCCAGAATCAAACACTACCCAGCTGGGTGCCACCCTCATAGTCTCTACAGGGCCTCTGCCCATGTTGCAGCCACTTGGTTCTTCATTGCTCTGAGGGTCTTCGTCTTTTTCAGTAATGCTGTCATTTGCCCACCATGATGTGGTTCTCTAGTGACTGACCAACCCTGATAACCTGCCCCAATAGCTCATCGTCCTCTCTTCCAATGAGCTTTCTGAATGTGCGTCTTCCTAGACAGATTTGCTTGCTTGGGTTGTTTTTCTGGCAGTTCATGCATACGTAATATTCTTCTCCAATCTCATGCTTCAAGAGCATCACTGCTTTGGTTTCCTTATACATTCTCCAGCTTTCAGGTGCCTAGGAGGCGATTGCAAATACCATGACTTGAATCAGGCACACTTTGACCTCCACGTGGTATCTTTGGTTTATAAAAACTTAAAGATATCTTGCAACAGATTTGTCCAGTGAAGTGTCCTCTGACATTCCGACTCTGGCTTCCATGGGCAGTGATGCATCCAAGGAAAATGACACCCTCGCCGGCGTCAATCTTTTCGCCCTGGATGTTGTTTATTCGTCCACTTTTGAGGATTTTGTTTTCTTTATGTTAAAATGTAATTCATAATGGAAGCTGTATTCTCTAATGTCTTCCAAACATTCAAGTCCTCTTTACTCCCAGAAAGCAAGGTCATGTCTTCTGCACATGGCCTGTTGTTAATGAGACTTTCTCCAATCCTGGTGCTCAGTCTTATAATTGCTCAGCATACAAATTGAATAAGTACAGTGAAGGCTACAAGCCGGATCCATATCCTCCCTGACCCCAACTGTCACACTATCCCTTGTTCTGCCTCAGTCTACTTACAGTTTCCATCTGAGCAGACTGGGTGTTCCGAAGTCCTCGCTCTCTGCAGTGTTATTCGTCGTTTATGAGCCACAGTATCAGATGCCTTTGCATAGACAACAAAACACAGGAGACATCTTCCTGTCATCCTCTCCTTGCAGCCAAAATCTAACATCAGCAAGAACCTTTGCCCCACTTCCTCTTCTGAATTCAGTCTGAGTCTCTGGCAGTTTGGGTTAAAGCACTTTGGCAACCACTTTTCAATTACCTTTGGCAAAATTGTGCTTGCTCGTGATAGTAATGATATTGTTTAATAATTTGAACATTCTATCAGATCCTCTTTCTTTTTGGGGGGGAATGGAGTTAAATATGAATTTATTCCAGTTGGTTGGCCAAGTCCCTATCTTCCTTTTAATTTGGATAAAATAATGAGCCTTATATTCAATTACTTAAACATCACAATTAGAATTTCATAATTTCATGAAGGCATGTTTTTATATCTTCAGTGCTGTTTGTATATCTTCCTTCAATATCATTAGTTCTTGGTCCCAAGCTGCCTCCCGAAATGGGTGAATGGTGACCAGTTCCTTGGGTTCAGCTTTCTGTATTTCTTCCATCTTCTTTCTAGGCTTCCCGCATTGCTCAGTGTTCTGTCTACAGAACCTTTAATAGGGCAATGGAAATTGAATTTTTGATTAGTCCTTTTTACCTGAGCGATGCAGAGCTTGTCCTTCCCTTTGCCAGGTCTGGGAACATTTCATTACAATGCTTTATTTCGGCTTCTCAAGCCGCCCTTTGAAATGTTCTGTTAAAGTGCATTGTTTTATCAGGTCTTCCATTTGCTTTAGCAAGTATCAGAATTTCTTCTGATAGCCACTTTCTTTCCTCTCCTGTTTTTTTTTAATTACCTTTTGCATTCTCCATATATTATATTCCTGATATCATTCCACAACTTGTCATAAGTCATCAGCTTTCAAAGTATTGAGTCTATTCTTAAGATAGTTTTAAATTCAGGTGGGATATATTTAAGAATATTGTACTTTGGTACTTGTGGACTTGTTTTAATGTCCTTCAGCTTCAACTTGAACTTCCATATAAGCAATTCATGGTCTGTTCTGCAATTAATAACTAGCCTTGTTCTGACTAATGATATTAGCTTGTGCATTGTCTCTTTTTATGGAAGTAGTCAAGTTGATTATTGTGTAATCCATATACAAAGATCCATGTGCATAATCACTACTTCTACTGTTTAAAATGGTATTTGCAAATTCTATCATGCCATACCCAGCATCATTTCTTTCACCATAGACATGTTTTCCAACTACTGATTACTTTTTTGTTTCCAACTTTCGCATTACCATCACCATTAATTATCAATGCATCTCAATTGCATGCTTAATCAATTTCAGAGTGAAGAATTTGGAAAATGCTTTAATTTCCTCATCTTTGACATTAGAGATTGGTGCATAATTTTAAATAATAGACCGCTTAAGTGGCCTTTATAGATATATTAGTCTGTTACTAATAGTGTAGTACTTCCTGAGAGAACTTTAAATGTTCTTTCAGACAATAATTATAACACTATTGCTCTTCAATTTGTTATTTCTGGCACAGTTTGATCATACTGTGCTGGCCTGTATGAGGCTGTGATGCTGTGAGCTATGCCACTTGTGTTTCAAATGCCAGCAGGGCCACTCATGCTGGACCGCTTCCAGACAACATAAGCAGAAGAACATGCCAATTTACTTCTGAAATGTTAAACTTTGGGATGTGTGTGAACAGTGGTGAGACACTCGCTAATATAGTGCTGGAGGATGAGCCCTTCCGGTTGAAAGGCGCCCAAAATGTGACGAGAGAACCGGCCCTGCAAAGCAGAGTGGACCTTAGTGATATGGAAGAGGAAGGCTTTCACAACGCTCCTTTGCTACTGTGGCATGACTTGAGTGAGAAGACATACTTGCAAGCATCCATTAGTATCAGAATGTGAAGTGTATAAATTATGAATTGGAGAAAATTAACAATTGTCAAAAATGCAATGGAATACTTAACTAATTGATAGTCTAGGCATGAGTGAGCTGAAATGGACTGGTGTTGACCATTTGACTTGGGTAATCACATGCTCTATTATGCAGAACATGATGTTCTTATAGTGGCATTAAAATAGATTTTCATTTCTGAAACAAAGGCAGCCAACTTTGAGGAAGAAACACAGCTCTTGGCCCTAATTAAAAAAAACCAACCCCCCAACTGCTCTCAATGGCAGGTACTGTCTGTTTAAAGGAAACTTCTCAAACGCCCACCTAACCTACATGAGAGGCATCCTTTCCTTATAGTATGATTACAGCACGAACGGTGTTATGATCAATTTTAGGAAATCCCCATTATTCTCCAAGAAAACCCACTTGCTACAAATGAAGGATGATATGGAATGGAACATGTTTTAACTGTTTCTTTCACCTTGCAGTTCTCTTAATGGATGTTTTCTCTGGGTTGCCTTTTATAGTATTACTACTCCATCAAGGACATCTCAGTCGGAGGGATGTGTATCTGCTATGGCCATGCTCGAGCTTGTCCCCTGGATCCAGCCACAAATGTATGTATGTTGATGGGCTGCTTAGGCGAAACAAAGCCCTGAATTGTAAAATGCTTCATGCGGGGCTCTGCTGACAGGAAACGCTGTGAATGGGTGTCAGCTCCCCACTTAGACAGGATAACAGCAAGCCGGGCTGGGGTGAAATCGAGCTGGCAGTTAGGATGATAGGCTTTGAAGGCAGCCATCACAGTATCAGAAAACAGATTAGTTTCTTTCTTCCTTTTTTTTTTTTACAGCTCCAAACTGGTCTATCTATTTTGAAACTTCTCTAGCTGTGACAGCAAGCTGTATGATTTAGCTTCAGAGACTGTCTGCTATCAATCAACCTGGCCACTTCTTGAACATTTTTTAATCAAAAAATTAATGCAAAAAAATGAAAAATGGGCTAGGAAGTAAATAAATGCTGGCCATGAAAAAGAATGCTGAGGTTGGGCAGGGGCAACAGAGAGTGGAGCACAAGTGAATAATCAAGAAAGGCTTGAAATTGCCATACATGAGAATGTCAGAATATGTTTTTGGTAGAATTTTCCATAAATGACAATATATTATGTAAACCTAGATAAGAAAGGGAATGAGCTTCTATTTTTCTCAATCATTAGCATACCCAGGATGCATAAAATCATCTATTTTGGAGTCGATGGAATAAATATATTGCATAAGATTAGTGAACCTCGGTTGGACTATGATGTTTTAAAAACTAAGCGTGTAGTACAAACAATACTATATTCAAAGCTAGTTTTCTGATTAATGGATCAAAATATTACCTCTCAGAGAAGGTTCAAATTCCCCTGCTATATTTTGAGTAGCAAGGTTCTAATGCTGCTCTCTGTAAGACTAAGGAGCTCTCTCCCAAGTGGAGGATGGGCGATGTTTCTCGGGCTTTGTGAGTCCCTAAGGCCATCATGGAAGATCAGACCTATATAATATGCACAGAGGAGAAATGTAGTTCAGGAGGGCATCTTATTTTATTCTACCTGTACCCCTAGATCCTAGGAATCAATTCCCTTCTTTGTTCCCACTACTAAACTATGTTGAGGGAAGCATTCCACAGACATAAAACAGCCTGGAAAATCCCCATACCGCAGGCATCAGAGCGGAATTAAGCTTTCAAAACTGTTCCTATTTGGGCCACCTTATTCTATTTGGATCCTACACCCATTGATTCCAGAAACAACTCAGAGTTCAGCAAACAGGTGCTGGTCATATGTATTAATGCCGTGGCTAAAACCACTTTCTTCATTGCCCAACACGATATTTTACATATTGGTACAATGTCTAGAAGTCCCCGCCCCCCTCCATCACATTTCAGGAAAACCCTTGTTTATGGTTCTCTTCAATGCTAAAATGATGGATCTCCCTTTTTGTTTGCTTAGAAATCCCGCTGTGAATGTGAGCACAATACCTGCGGTGAGAGTTGTGATCGCTGTTGTCCAGGATTCCATCAGAAACCCTGGAGAGCTGGGACTTTCCTAAAGAAAAGTGAATGTGAAGGTATGTGCCGAGAAGCCATAGGATCTGTATTCTTTTCCTTGAGGAAAGACTCATATTGTCAACACATAGTAATTTTTAGGAACATCCCTATTTCTGATGAATATATTTTAACTGAAGCAATAGTTGATACATTCTTTTTATCATGGTATCTTCCTTACTGAACTTTTCAGTGCCTGATTTTCTTCTTTACATTTGGAAAATGTTTGCCAAACACCTGTGGATTTACTAAAGTGTCAAATATTGTAGGAAATAGATGAAAACTTAGGGTGTATATATTGTCATCAGAGTGATACTAATGCTTATAGCAAAGTGCATATATGGGTGAAGTATAACTAAGCAATCAGTAAAACAGGCTCAAAAGCCGATCTTCTAAACATCTATATATTTATAAAATGATTGTGAAAACAATGTTAGCAATAACTCCTTCTGTCTGCTCCGTTAGCAACTCCCCAGTCTACTTTCTTGCTTAGTAAAGACACCTGTTCACTCAGCAGCAAATGAGAGAATAATAAAACATAAGAGCTATCCCCCTACATTTTAATTCCAAACCAAACAAAATCCATTGTTACCGAGTTAATTCCAATTCACAGAGACTGTACGCTGGGTTTCAGAAGTTGTACATCTTTACAGGAGCAGACAACCTCATCTTCCTTCAGAGAAGTTAGTGGATTTGAATTGTCTACCTTGTTGTTCGCAGCCTGTATACCTACCCTAAAGCAGCAGCAGGGAATCACCATCTGAGAGTCTGTGTATTATCTGAAAAACAGAGTGCTATGGTAAATTAGTTATACTTACTAAAGGGTGGCCTTTGAGGGCAACAGCTGGGAAGTGTAAAAGTTGACAGAGAAGACAACTAATTTGGATCCACTAATCATAGTGAGCATGACTAGTTTGAACAAATGACTTCATATGAACAACTGCTATATTGAACTACTGATATTAAAAGGGGCATCAATAACAAATAAACTATGCTATAGACGTCATTGGACAGAGACAAGTGAGATAAAAGCCAGCAATGGAAATAGTAACAAAAACGGACTCTGTAAATGTGAAAACACACACTCACACTTCAGTACGATTGCTTTTGAAGACAACCCATATGTTTGCGTATGCCCGTGAACCAAAGCGTGCCAAATGATTTTCCTTTATTACAAAAATTTTGGAGAAACTTCTGTTTCTAAAGATTTCCACAGGTCAATGCATGACCCAAAACCAGAGGCTTGTGCTGATTGCTAGACCCCAACTAGTGTTTGGCCAAATTCAAAGAAATTCAAATATTAATTTTTAATGAGTTGACTATAACTACATCTTTTCCGTTTAATAACTATATATGGCCTACAAAAAAAGAATTTGGTCGATATTTTAAACTATTAAATAACTCTAACTATTTAACTGGGTAAAAAATTAACTCAAATAATGACTGTGAATGTGTTGAAGAGCTCCGGTGGTGCTGTGGTTGCCCGTTAGACTGAAGTCCACATGGCTGGCCATTTGAATCCACCAGCAGCTCCTCTGTGGTAAAAGGGATAGGTTGAGTTCCACCTCTACCCTTGCCCAGGAGAGTCTAATTGACATTATCCCCAACTATCACAGACCATCCTTTGTGAACCTGACACTTTTACATACGCTTTACCCATATGTAATCATTAAAGACAGTAATAAAATCATATTTCCACATAACATGATTTAATTCATATGTGTATGAATGAAAGAGCACTAACCCATATTCATCATATTTTATAAGTGAGCATAACTAAAATATTTGGCACAAGCATACAGATATGGATTACTGAATTACAGACCTCATTTCTGGTCATGTGGCCATAGCTGGTAATTAGAAGTCTGTGCTCCCATTGCCCATATCATATTTCCTTTACCCTCAGCAAGTACCTTCGCTGGTCAGGGATCTTTGTCTGATGGGATGTCTCAGCCTTCATTCCTGAAGAGTTTGGGCTATTGGTAGTCATGTCAGAATTAGGGTGTTGTGCTTTCCCATTGACTTCAATCACAGCCAATGATCTCACTAAGAAATGACCTAAGGAATCTCCTGGATTCCAGACATATTCTTCTCTCTCTCCATTATGTACCACAAATTCAAATTTCCCCTGTAATCAGGATTAAATACATCATTAAACATGGTAACACCCTTCTTCACTTGTTGATTCAGAGGCATGAGGAGGCATGATCCAAATGACCAGGGAGGTGCATTCTTCATTGCCAGTTCAATGGAATCCATGCTGTTTCCAGATGAGAGTAGTCCTACATAAACAAAGAGCATAGACCCCTGGGAAAAGAAGCAAAAATCCTGCAAGTAGCTCACTAAGAGTAAGACTGAGTAGAGCCAATCCTGTTTCCACCCCTTGATTCTTGGACCTATGAATCCTGGCTACTGGAGACACAGCACCATTAGTTGGCCAATGGTTCTAGAGCACATGCAGCTTCCTGGAGAACATTGTCCTAATCCTGTAACATGTTACCATGGAGCTGGCACTGTAATTGTGTCTTTAGAAGGTCATTACATTGTTCTATCAAACTAGCTTCTTCAGGATGATGAGAAATCTGGTACGGCCAGTGGATTCAGTGAGCATGGGCCATTGCTGTCCTTCATAGGCTAAGTGAGTCCCTTGATCTGAAGCAATGCTGCGTGAGATACCATGTTGGTTGATAAAACATTCTGTAATCTCCCGAAGAGTAGTTTTGACAGAAGCAGTGCATGCAAGCAAAGCAAATCTGTATCCAAAATGTGCCTATTTCGGTGAGAACAAAACACTGCCCTTTCCATATTGGAAGTGGTCCTATGTGATCAAAGTGCTACCAGGTTTCTAGTTAATATCCCTAAGGAATGGGGTCTATATCTTGGACTCAGTGTTAGTCTCTGCTGCTAGCAGATGGGGCACTCACCAGTGGCAGATGCCAACTCAGCCTTGGTGAGTAGAAGTCCAAGATCCTGAGCCCATGAATGCCTTCCTTGCCTGGCACCATGTCCACATGGCTCAGATGCCCCTAGGGCAGACAGAAGTGGCTGAGGACAGAGGATGATGTTACCAAAGAATGTGTCATCCTATCTACTTGGTTGTTAAAATTATCTTCTTTAGAAATAATCCTTGGTGACCATTGACATGAGACACAAATATCTTCATTTTTTTATCCATTCAGAGAAAGTCTATTCACCTTCCTTTCCTATACCTCTTCCTTACCAATTTTCCAATCATGCTCCTTCCAAGTCCCTGATGATTCAGCAAAACCATTGGTCACACTGCATGTATCAGTATACAGCTACACATTTGACCATTTCTCCTTCAGTCCAAGCAAACTGAACCATCGGGCATAGTTCTCAAAGTTATTTCCTCTGGAAGAATTTTACTACATGGCTGTCCTTTAAGGAGGGCCCAGAAAGCCGTTATAGTGTTGTTTCTGTCCACATTCGAGTGGTACCTGCATATGTACAGAACCATCAGCAAATTAACATGAGTGTGCTGTTCCTCAGTCAACCAATCATGACACTCCCCATCTTTGAATAATAAACATTTGAAAAACAGAATTAAACTTGAGGTCTTGGCCAACAATCATATATAAATATCCTTCTCTTCGTAATATATGTGTTCCTAAAAGCCTAAGTGAGATTTTTCCCCCATGCTGAATCATGCTGCAATCACCTTTCTGCGACAAAGCCCTCTGTAAAATGACTGATGCATTTGGATTTAATTGGATTTTCATCAGTCTACATCAAGGAAAGTATATTGCCAAAGACTGAGGTATATTTATTCCATCTGTCAGCATTTACTAAATGACAGTCTCATAAACTGTGGCATGGATGCCGTTCCCGTGATGCCATTGTGCACATGAGAGAGCAGAGTGGCAGGTGTGAGCAGAAGCCATCCCCCCAGATGGGGTGATCCAGGCGGCGTGGGACAGAGAGCTGCCTCCCATGGGCAATAGCCAGGGCTGCCGACAGAATCCTCACTGCATGAAGGGTGAACAGAATGCTGTTCTAGCTCCCATGTTTGCCAACATTTGCTCATGGCTATAAATATGAGCGATGCTAATTCTGAATGATGTGAGGTTGTTTGTATGACTTTATATTCCCCTTCAGTTGCATAGGCAGTAGAAATCTTGATGGCTTCTTATAGTATATTCTTACATTGGAGTTTTTAAGATTCCTAAAAATAGAAAACTCCTTATCACTGAAGCCCATGGAAAAAATGATGAAGTCAAACAATTGAGCAGAGAATTTCTAAGGGGAGCTTGAGATGACAAAGCCAAAATTATAATGACATGTACAAACAACTCAAATTAGAAAGACCAAAGGAAGAGTGCTCTCAGCACCTCTGAAACACAAAGAATTCAAGAAACAGTCAAGCCTTGAGTTTTAATGTTGAAAGATGCTGTGGACAAAATATTGAATGATACGGGAAGTATCAAAAAAAAAAAGATGGAAAGAACACATAGAGTCACTGTACCAAAAAGAATTGGTGACCTTTAACCATTTCAGCAACCATGGTGCTGAAAATAATTTCCAGCTGCACTGAAAGCATTAGCCAAAAACAAGGCTCCAAGAATTGATGGGCCACCAATTGAAGTGCACTCACTGGCCTATGAAAGGACATTTGGAAGACAGTTACTTGGATAACTGACTGGACGAAATCCATATTTTTACCCATTTCCAATAAAGTTGACCCAACAGAATGCTCAAAGTTTAGAACGATGTCATTGGTATCACATGCAAGTAACACTTTGCTGAAGACCCTCCAGCAACAGCTGCAGCAGTACATCCACAGGGAGCTGCCGGAGGCTCAGGCTGGATTCAGGAGAAGACGTGGAACAAAGGATGTCATTGCTGATGTCAGATGGGTCTTGGCTTAAAGCAAAACACACCCAAAAGATGTTTACTTGTGTTTTATTTACTGTGCCGAGGCATTCGACTGTGTGGATCATAACAGTTTCTGATCACAAGAGAAACATAATAACTAATTGTTAGAGCTATTTTGAGGATTAAAAGCAATGGTAATAAAAGCAAAACCTAGTATGAAGAAGAAAACTAAGTAAGTTTTGTTTTTAATTGTAGTAAAGGAGGAGAGGTCAAGTGTATAGTGCACACCATTTTTCACCCATGGGATCTAGTGCAGAGATTTGCGTGGAGTCTATGAGTGGTGCTGGGCATGAACAGAAGTTTGCAGCTCCTAACTGCCTCGGGCATGCTTGGAAGTAGGGCCTGGCGACCTAGCTTCAAGATTTCACATCCTTAATACTCCATGCAGTGCAGTTCTCACATGTATTTTTCAGATCCCTTGTTCCAGTTAAGAATTATTCAATAATTTTTTGGATTTTTCATAGGAAATCATATGTTGAATCATAATTTATAATATTATGACTCAAAATCTGTCACATATTGCCAATTCTAAATGATTCTGCTTTACTTTAATTATTTCAAGTTGCATTCAAACATGTAAACTTAATAATGCACCAATCCAAATATTTCCTGGATACTTCTGTGATGTTTCCTATGCGTATGTGTCCAAAAGTAATGTAGATTGCCATATAGTATAAAATCTATTCATGAAGACAGAAAATACTTTTTAGATCTAGCTAAAATCTGGCATTAAGAAACATGGAACTGATTTCAATATACTTGAAACCTGGAAACTCCATGTTTACCACCTTTTCTCTTTGACGCAGCATGCAACTGCCATGGGAAAGCTGAAGAGTGCTATTATGATGACAATGTTGCCCAAAGAAACCTCAGTTTAAATATACACGGGAGGTACATCGGAGGGGGCGTGTGCGTTAATTGTACAAGAAACACTGCTGGTATAAACTGTGATACATGCATGGATGGCTTCTTCAGACATAAAGAGGTACAGTATGCTCTTTCTTAAATGTTACTAGCTTTTTCATAGAGATGTAACAAAAAAAATTACTTTCATAACTGCCGTGGCATATTAAATAAACTTCAAATTCTGAAGTGACCCAAAACCTTTTCCAGTTGAAATTGACATGAACCTTTGAGAATGTGTCAAAAATGTTTCTATCACTAGAGAATTGGAGTACTGGTTGTTCTGCTGGATAAGCTTTGAGTGGTGAGCTACAAGGTTGGCAGTTCAAACCCACGAGCTTCACAGATGTGGCTCTCTTCTCCCATCAAGATGTATAGCCCTGTCTCCTGTAGCTATGAGTCAGAATCAACTCAGTGGTAGTGATATTGTTATAATTGCTTGAGAACGTTTCCCTATGCCTCCGTCCGGTCATTTCCTAAGCCTCATTGTCAAAAAGGGTTCTGATTTTTAGAAATAATTTCGTGTTACATGTTAGTGAACATTATAATATGAAATAATGCAGTACATGATTTTATATATTCCTTCTTTGATGCAACATACATTTTAAAAATTATCCATATCATTGTGTGCATGAGTATTTAGTTATTTTTATATGCATATATTGCTTATTATGCTGATGCATGGATATACCATATATTTTAATCCATTTTCCTGGTGATGGACATTTGGATTGCATACGGTTTTGATATAAATCTTGCAAATAATTCTATACAGGTCTTTTTGATGGTCATGATTTCAACTTTCGTTTATAAATCCCTCACAGTAACATCTTTCCCCTCAAAGGGCAGTCGCTGTGCTCTGCGGAGCAGCTTTACTCTGATTCATGGGGTATCATCAACACTCAGAATGGACTTGCTGGCTTGTTTTAAGCATAGCTCTATATTTGACTTCATAAGATATTGTTAGTAACATTTATACTTTTACTAAAAATATTGATGAGTTCCAGTTGTTCCAGGCCATCTCCAATGTTTGGTATTGGCTATAATTTCAAATTTTAGCCCTTCTAGTAGGAGTCCTGCGGTGCCGTGGGTGCGCACAGGGCTGCTAACATCAAGATCAGTCGTTTGAGAACACCCGCTCTTCTACAGGGTAAACATGAGGCTTTCCATCCCATAAAGGCTTGCCATCTCGAAGCCTAGAGGCCAGCCTACTTTGTCCTCTAGTCTCACTCGACGGCAGAGTGGACTCATCCCAACGAGTGTGAGTGTGCGTGGGTGTGGTTGGATAGTTCACGATAGATATTCTCTTCATTTCATATGCTTACTGGCCATTCATTTATTTTATCTTGTCTATTAAACATTTTTGTTGTCTTTTAACATTTTAAATTTAGCTTTTAGAACGATGGGCCATTTAAAATAAATATGAGAGGCTTTTAAAAGTTCAGGGGGCAATGAGATTAAAAGAGAATGAAATTTTTCTTTGAACTTTTTGAAGTCCCCTAATTTTTATGTATATGTGCGATATAAGAGGGTAGGCAGACAAATGGCTTAACCTACTCTTCCAAGCATATTTGTTGAAAATACTTCCTTTCTCCTTTGAATGTCTTTGATGAATTTATTGAAAATAAGTTTATCATACAATGCGGCCCTCATGATTCTGTCTGTCTTTGTGGTAATCCTGCAGGTGAAAGATGGGGTTGTCTGCTCACCTAAATCTTTAGGAAATCCTTGGGATTTCTGAGAGTGTAGGTCCTTAATATCACTTCTACTCTGTCCTGCCTAGATCGTGTTTCTGAGTCAGCAAGCGGCTCAATGCCAGTGACTTGGGTTTTGGGTTTTCTACCAAGCAATTCTGTTGCTACTAAGAAATCCTGGTTGTACTAAACATTGGGCCGTTAACCAAGAGGTCAGCAGATCAAATTCCTCAGTTGTTCTATAGGAGGAAGAGGAGGCAGTCTGCTTCCAGAAGGGTTCCCAAACCAAACTCACTGCCAGCCAGTCGATTCCAACTCATAGTGACCTCAGAGGGCAGAATGGAACTGCTCCTGTGGGTTTCAGAGACTCCAACCCTGTGCCCCTACCCCATGCGTTAATTTTCTTTTTTCTTTTTAATTATTTTGTGTTTGTGTTAGTTTAATGAATTTTTACATTGTGAATTAGGACGGGATTCACATTTCAGACCTTCACCTCTGCATTCAGCATTTCAAATCCCTCAACTCCCCTGTATTCTATCCTACCCTCTTCCCTGATTTCTCCGCTCCCTCCTATAGATCTCCATCTTGACTTTCACTGAAGTCAATACCTGTCCACCTTCAGAGACTGTAACTCCTTAGAGCCGTAGAACACCCACTTTTCCTCCTGCAGAGCTAGTGGTTTCGGACTGCAACCCACTGCCCTGGAAGCACTCTGGGAAGGTTCTGCTCTGACCCGGTGGGCTGCCATCCGTTGGAACCACTCCATAGCAGTAGTTTTTGTTTTGTGCCAATGCCACACTGTTTTGGTTACTTTCACTTTACTGAACTTGGAATTCAGACAAGGTGAGTACATCATATGGATCCTACTGATGATGATTAGCCCAGGTGTCTAAATTCAGAATCATCCGGTCAAATTTAGGAAGCATTATTTTTGCCTGCCATATAGAAACAAACTATAGACAAATAGAAAACTGACATCTTAACAATATTGGCTCTTCCAATCCAGGAACATGTAACACTTCTCCCTGTATTTATAATTGCTTAATTGTTCATCACAGTATTTCCACTGTAGAGATCATACATGCCATTTGTTGAATTTGTTCTTGAGTATTTTTCACCATTACAGAATATTTGCAAAAATAACTATTTGAAGCTATAATATAAAAATATTTTTAATATTGACTTTATAGCCACATTATGTTCACTCATTACTTTTAGTACTTTTTAGCTAACTTCTTGAGAAGCTTACACATAAACAATATGCTGTCTGCAAATAAATGCAAATTTATTCTATTTTTATACCAATTAAAAAACATTACCATAGCAGATATATTTGCTTGTTTTAAGTCCTAAAGGTAAACATGTAATATTTCACCATTGAATTTTATGTAAACTGTTGAATTTTCACAGGTACCTTAAATCAGATTCAAAAAGTTTTCTTCTATCTCTAGGCTGATAAGAGTATTTATAATTCAGCAGCTTTGAGTTTTGTGAAATACTGCTTTGCTTCTACTAAAATAAACATATGGAATTTTTCCTATGTTCTGTTAACATAGTGAATTTAAACTGACTTTTTTATTATTAAACAATCTTACAAGCCTAAGATGAATTTCTATTAATTATTGTTATATAAAAATACATATGATTTGTATGTAATTTTAGTGATAAAATATATTTTAAATATGTTATATGACCTAATTAGCTATTCAAGAAATTTTGAATCACCTCACACAACTATTGGTCTGTAATTTTATTTCTTGAAATATCCATCTGTTTTTTTTCCATTGAGATAAACTAGCTTCAAAAAATGGCTTTGGAAATGTTAATATTTCTCCTGGCCTTTAAAATTTATTTTATAATATTGGGATTAGATATTTTGGAATTGTTCAACAGAATTCCTTAGTGAAACTGCACTTAAACCTATAGTTCTTAATTATTGGAAGGTTTAAATAATGGATTTAATTGCAATACACACTGGGCTAGAAAGACTTTGCATTTTTCTTTGGGTAAGTTTTGATGCACTAGGTTTTTAAATGAATTTATTTATCTCATGAAAATTGTCCAATTTATTAGCAAAACTTTTAGAAACAGATTTATTGGCATATATTTCACCTAAATACTATTCTATAGTTCAGTCGTATTAAAAAGAGTTATACAATCATTTCCCCAAGCAAAACTTTAAAATATATATATATTATAGTTATCCTTTTAAGTGCTATAGTATCCATATTAATATTAGTTCTTTGATTCCAAATGTATTAATTATTGGATTTTTCTCTTTTCTTAATAGCTCATAATAGAGGTTTACAAATTTTATTAATACTCTACAAAGTGTCAAGTACCCAAGGGGTGCAATGAATTAAATGCTGAAATGCTAACCAGGAGGCTAGCCATTCAAACGCCCAGCTGCTCCACATGAAATAAGAGAAGCTGTCTTCTCCAGTAAGGTTTGCAGCCTGGGAAACATCCATGCAGTGGCTCTGCCCCATGCTGTAGGTCTTGGAGTACAAATTGAATCGAAGACAGTGGGTTTGGGTTTGTTTTTTAAAAAGTTTGCCCCTTTTATGTCTGTGTTCTAATTACTGATTTTGGTCTTACATATTATGCTATTCTTTGATCTTGCTTTGGGTTTAAATGACCTATTTTATACCTAAAATATATTTTGCAAATTATATAAACTCATAAAAACAGAAAATTTAGAAGCTATACATGTGCATTAAGGATCATTTTCATATTGTGAATTTTCCAAATTAATATATTGCTTTATATATTTTTAATTAATGCGTTTTAATTTTTTTCAGACTAGAAAAGGATTGGTGCATCCATTACCCTTGATTAAAAGTACTTAAAAATTTTCATAGGTGTCTCCACATCATCACAGACCATGTCAGCCGTGCCAATGTGATCCAATCGGTTCCTTAAATGAAGTCTGTGTCAAGGATATAAAACATGCACAAGGTGAGGGAGGGCAGACGAGGGGGGGGGCGCGGTATGGACTGGTCAAAGGAGAGCTGAAGGACAAGTACACGTATTTCCAGGAGAAAAGTTTATAATAAGTAATTTTTATATTGTAAATGTATTCTTTTTGTCATTGTTCTTTAAACTTGAATTTATAGCTCTTGGTATTTGCTATGTTGTTTTATAGCTTTCGTGGTTTCTAGCAGGAAATGGGACTCTTTGGGGAGGATCATTTGTGCTTCCATGGTCAGCATGAATGTGAGAGCTGGCACAGTAAAGAAAATGAAATACAGAAAAAATGTAGAAAAGACAAAGTGTATAAAGGACTTTTTAAATAGGTAGTAGTAGTAAATTAATGCCAAAAAGAAGCTGAAATTAGTTTAAGTCAAACGTTTTCCTTGCGATTACTCCAAATGCTCTAGTATCAAACGCCAGCCTCCTCCCTCGATGTAGAATGCTTAGGAGACACTTCCAGGGAGGTTGCTTGTCAAGATTTCAGTATTTGGAACATTGTTTTTCATCTCGTTTCTTCTTGGTAGAGATAACTCAGGGATACAAACACAGTTTTTTCCCTACAATGGCAATGTTTCTTGGCATATTTTAATTTACCTGCTTTCTTTATAAAACTGTAGATTTATTAATTTGAGGTTTACAGTCTTAAATATGAACTCAAAATCTATATTTAATGACATTCGAATGTTAAATCCCTGACGGTCATTTTTCTTTCATCTTCTCTATTCTTTTTAGTGAAGCAAGAAAAAAGATGCTATTTTTTGTGATGTTACTTAATTCCGCCCTTTGAAAATGATAATATATATCAATAAAAAGTTAGAGAAAAATACTGCATGAGACCATGATTCTAAAAGAAAAAAATCAAGAAAAATGGTTTTTCCACCAAAAGTAACAGACCATTATATAGTTATGGATATGTCAGGTGAGGGAGGAGAGAAAGAAAGGGAGAATGAAAGAACTAATAAAGTAAATTAAATTAATATATTTAAGTTATAAAAAAGTATAAAAATGAATATGTACACGATAATTCAACAGATGACACTATTAATATGTTTATGTATATTTCCATAATACGTCAATGTTTAATTTTCTTCCTTTTAGTTTTCCAGAATGAATTTTTCCCCAGAAATTTTTTTGGGAGTTTCTTTAAATTCTTATCTTAGCTCTTGTCTAACATATCTTTAACTTTACCTATTTAACTCTATAGTTGCATTAAAGTGATTTCTGAATTTTGTTTAATATAGCCAATATTTAATGAAGATATTTCTATAAGAATATTTCCCAATTTACATACAATAATAAAGTATACATTAAGATAACATTTTAAAAATAATGAAATTATGAATAATAGCAACCGTGTTCTAGTCTAATTATACAGCACAATTCTTCTTAACAAAATTAACCGTAATGGGCCTGTGTTTAGTTTTATTTCATACTTTAGGGATTAAGCTCAAATATTGAAATAATATTAATGTCAGTATTTTAAAAGTTTATAAACATTAAATCTTGCATAATGACTCTCCGTTTACAAAAGGCCAAAAAATATTTCATTCATGTCACATCCGCTAACACCAACATCAAAACCGAGTCAATTCTGACTCAGCGCGACCCTCTGAGACACGGTGGGCCTGGCGCTCTGGGTTCACCGTGTTACTCTTTAATTAAGGGAGGAGGAAGCGGCATTTTTCCCCGAGAAGCAGCTAGTGGTTTCCAACTGATCGCATGGTTAGCAGCCCAAGGCACACTTCCTCCGAAAAATGCCACTGCCTAATTGTCCTTTCCACGCATCCATAAAGAACCTTACGTGATACACATATCATCCATCACTTTCTGTGTCTTGCTTGCTACTCAGCAATCATGGACCCTGGTGGTGGCACGGTGAAAGTGCACTGTGCTAACTGAAAGGTCAGCAGTTCGAAGCAGTGAGGTGTGGACACTTAGCGTCTGTAAAGTTGGAGAGGCTCGGGAACCTTGACCTATCCTGTTCTCTAGGGTTGCTATCAGTCAGAATCGACGTGATAGCAGTGGGTTTAGATGCAGCAATAATAATAAGTTATAGCTGCACAAATGAACTAGGTTGCTTCTTATTAATATACTACGCAAGTGACAAAAAGCAAAAGAAAGTAATATTTCTAAATGGATGCATACAAATGTGTTTAAACTACAGAGTCATAAACAACATTCGGGATGGTAGTTATCTGGGGGGGGGGGGCGTGGCATGGGGACTGTGAGGCTTCTAGGGTCCTGTTTGGTTCTGTCTTTGATGCCACATGATCGGATAGGAAGAACACACTGTTCACATAATAACTCTTGCTGTTGGGTGCCCTCGAGTCAGCTCTGACGCAGATCAACCTGTGTGCAACCGAACAAAGCCCTGCTCGGTGCTGCATGGTCCTCACAGGTGTTCTTATAGCGGAGCTTGTCTTTTCAGCCACTGTGTCCAGCCACCCTGTCGTGGGCCTTCTCCTTTTTTAAAATCACTTTACTGGGGGCTCGTACCACTCTTGTCACAATCCATCCAGCCAGCCATTGTGTCGAGCACATTTGTACATGTGTTGCCCTCCTCATTCTCAAAACATTTGATTTCTACTTGAGCCCTTTGGTATCAGCTCCTCATTTTTCCCCCTCCCTCCCCGGCCTTCTTTATTGCTGCTGCTCCACCTTAGCTAGCTTTATGTTCTTTCCCAGGGACTGGTCTCTTCTGAGAACGTGTCCAAAATACTTGAGACAAAGACTTGTCTGTTAGGAGCCTTCTGGCTCTACTCCTCCAAGACAGATGGGTTTGTTCTTTTGGCAGTCCATGGTCCTTTCAACATTCCTTGTTAGCACCATCATTCAAATGCATCGGTTCTCCAGTGTTTCCTATTTAATGTCCAACTTTTACATGCATATGAGGCAATGGGAAATGTCATGGCTTAGGTCAAGTAGACCTTAGTCCTCAAAGTAACATCTCTCATTATCAACACTTTAAAGAGGTTTCACGCAGCAGTTTTATGCAATGTACCCTTGGATCTCTTGACTACTACTTCCATCAGCATAGATTGTGGATCCAATCCAGACAAAATCCTGGACAACTTCAATATTTCCTCCATTGATCATGATGCTAATTACTGGTCCAGATGCGTGGATTTTTGTTTCCTTCTCACTGAATTCTACTCCATACTGAAGGCTGAAATCCTAGATGTTTATCAGCAAGTACTTCAAGTTCTCCTCATCACAGGTTAAGAAGCCTTCATCCAATTTTGATAATGTATTCTTCTCCATATAATCCAGATTCTCTGACCACTCACTCAGCCTACAGATGGAATAAGTATGGTGAAAGAATACAACCTTGACTCCCACCTTTCCTGGTTGTAACCACCAGTACACGCTTGTTCTGTTCACACAACTGCCTCTTGATTCTTGTGCAGGTTCCTGGTGAGCACACTGAAGTGCATTGTTCGTGGGGAAACCTGTGCTTCTCATGGTTCTCCCGAGTTTGCTACGCACCAAAGACGCAGATGCCATTACATAGTCAATGAAACACAAGTCAACAGCCTTTGGTAGTTTTTGCTTTCAGCCAAGATCGATTAGACTTCAGTAATTATAGTCATTGTTCCACATCTTCCTTTGAATCCAGCCTGAACCTGTGGCAGCTCCCTGTCTACACAATGCTGCCAGCATTGTTGCATGCTTTCCAGCAAAATTTTACCTGCGTGTGTTATCATTGATTTTGTTCCACAATTTGAGCATTCTGTTGGGTCACCTTTCATTGCAATGGTTAAAATATGGATCTATCCCAGTCAGATGTCCAGGTAGCTACCTTCCAAATGTCCTGCCATAGACTAGTGAAGGTTTCCGGTGCTTAATCAGTTTATTGAAGCATTTCAATGGGTATTCCATCTATTCTTGAATCCTTGTTTTTGGCTAACGCTTTCAGTGCAGCTTGAACTTTTTCTTTCAACTCCAATTGGTTCTTGTTCATATGCTACCTCTTGAAATGGTTAAAGGTAATCAATTCCTTTTTGAACAGTGACTTTCTGTGTATTCATTCCATCTTTTTTTGGATACTTCCTGTATAATTCAAAATTTTTCCCACAAAGTATTTCTATATTGCAGCTTGAGGGTTAATTTTTTTCTTGAGTATTTTCATTTTAAGATATGCTGAGCATGTTCTTCCTGTTTGGTTTTCTATTTCTAGGTCTATGCACATTTCATTATAATATTTACTTTGTCTTCTCAAGCAGCCCTTTTAATTTGTCTTTTCAGCTCTTTGACTTTATTTCTTCCATTTGCCTTGGCTCCTCTATGATTGAAAGCAAGTTTCAGAGTCTCTTTGGACATCCACTTTGGACTTTTCTTTCCTATCATATATATAGTGATTAATATCTGATAGCAAAAGATCACCAAAAGCATGCCATAACATTTTTACTGGTACATTTTTAGTCCATTTTTCTTTCATTTATACTTTTTCCCCCTGGCAACTCAAATCAAGAGTTGTTTTGTTTCATGTCCTGCAACATGTATACATATATTTTTCTCAGTGTAACCCACCATAAAGGAGCTAGGCATCCATACGTGTGCTCAGATATAACCTCCTAACATGTGTAGCTCCTAGGAATTACCTTTGGGCTACAAAGTCAAATCCCCTCCTCTAGTTCATCAGAGTTTGGCAATTAGCTCCAAGAATATTTCAAGGGTTGATTTACTTCCTTAGAACTACATTTTCTTATGGTTCCAGAAAGAACCATATTTTGCAGAATAATAAAATAACTTCCCACCTGCCCGCTCGCTTGTGTCTGAAAGCATCTTTCATTGGGAAGTGTTTGGAAAAGAAGTCTTCTCTCCTCATCAGTTCACAATATTTTTAGAAGCAAAAGTTATGATCGGCATTGTTTATTACTTTGAGTATTTCTACATTGTCTTGATTTATAGAGGTTTTCCCATCATAAGTAAATGTTAGATTTGTTGAATAGTTTTGCAAACTCTATTGATATTTTAAGTTTTTCACCATTTGATCCATATATGCAAAGGTCAAATGATATGTTGAAAAGATATTCATAAATATTATTACCAGCATAAATTCTACTTGACCAGCATGGAAGCAATTTCCAATATACTTTAGGATACAGGTGGTGTTTATTTTATTTACAATGTCTTCACATGGAGTCTTAAGTTAACTTGTATGACTCTACTACTTGCTACCTCTGCTACTGAGCAACCTACCTAGTTTCTCTGTGCACCAGTCTTTTCTTCTGCAAATTTGAAAAAAATATAACATCTACTTCATAGAGGTTTTTAGAATTTGATGTGTTATTATAGTTTCCATGTGCATACTAAAATAATGCTTACTTAGACAATAAGTGTTAACTGTTGTTCTGCTTATTTTGGGTGATCGTAAGATTTCAGTATCAGATTTTCCTTAGCCTTGCAAACTGATTTACAATGTGCCATTTTTAATATGTTCTATCAGGGTTTCAAACTTTGAATACACCGTCAAAACTAACTAGCCTTAAAATATTTTTATGGTAATTTTTGGCTCACTTTCCCTCTTTTAATACCTGTGTCATCATTGGTTAGGTATTGTGGTTCATTTTTTCTTCAAATCTTGTCATGCTCACTTTTTGTCCTTTCTAATATTTGTAAAGGTTCTCAGAAGATGCTATGGTAATGAATGGGAGCCAATTTCTAATTAGGCCCCATTGTTTTTCAACTTTAACTTAAAAAAACGATGTGCATCTTCTTTAACATTTTTACATTCAAACAGAATTTCAATGGATATTACTTATTACATTTTAGGAACTAAATGAAGTATTTGTCTTTTAAAATCTTGATATGTGACTCATGTTTCCTTAGGCCTGGAGCCTGGATCCTGTCATTGCAAAACTGGCTTTGGAGGAGCGCGGTGTGATCGGTGTCTTCGGGGTTACACTGGCTTCCCTGATTGCCAATCCTGTAATTGCAGTGGCAAAGGAAGCAGAAACGAGGATCCTTGTTTCGGACCCTGTCAATGCAAGGTACATTGTATAGTCCATTCATGACTTACCGCCATGACAGAAGAGCTTTTTATTGGGCTTCTCTGTTATGTTTTCCAGCATTTGGAAATTGTAGAACTTTTTAAAAATAGTTACCATCGATTCCGTATGTTACATTCCTGTGTCTTTTAGATGGCTACCAGACTCATTTACAAATCTCTTGCCATTTGTCTAAGGAACTACACAGATCTTGTGAGGCTCTGTTCTTTTATAGCAGAAACAATTTTCTTCTTCCTATTCTGGTCTATTAAATGAAATATTTGGTGCTAAATACAGCAACATAGTAAGACAGCCATATTCTCAGATCTACTATAGCATTGCTTCTCATCCTGAAAATATGTATGCCCAGAGTCTCATTTTGGAGTTTTTGAAGCTATCTTCTATTTGAAACTAGGTGGTATGAAAATATCCATCATATTCAAATGTTTCTGTTTAATTACTAAAAATATAAGAAGCCCCAGATGAATTGATTCAAGATATAATACTTCCCCGCAATAGTACTTTTAGATATTCAACTTTATCTGTGGTCCATGCTCAATTAATAGCTCATCATGTTAACACCAGGGAGCATATTACACTTGCCACTTAGAAATTTAGAGGAAATGCAGAGACATGTATGTCTCCTTTTGCTATAATAAATCAGTTACAGAACATTCCAATTGAACAGTGTAAAATTACATTTACAGAGAAAATAAATCATTTAGAGGTAGCTAGAATGCCATACCGATGTAGGAAGGAATGTTCCTTTGTGTTTCCTTTGATTATTAATGGTCGATGAGACCTTATTAAGGTGTTTTTTCATTATTAAGGTATTAATCACAGCTGGGTGGCTATAAACTATTATGTCCTAAAAGTGGTTATGTATGCATTAACAAATTGTAAGCCATATAATGCATAAATAATAGTACTATACCCAAGTATTATATAAGTACTCTAATTTACCTAAGTACTATTGTTTATAGATTTAAAATATCTGAGATGCCAAATTAAGTATTATTAAAGTTATATAATATGGGTGTACTCTAAAAGGAGTAATTTAGGTCCCAACTTTAGAATATTAAAAAATAATGAAACTTTTGTCTCAAACAAACAGAGGTCTGATATTCCTTGGCAAATAATTCCCATGTGTTATGATATATTAAATTTCTAGATCTAGTACTTATAATCCCAATATTACCTTAAAATTACTTTATTAACAAAATAGCTAGCACTTTATGATTATATGTTTGAGGAAAATGCTCTTTCTTCATCCTGTATGCCTTTTTTGGAAATCCTATAGGCTCTTAGAGCATCCTTTTTACTGTGTACCAGAACATATTTTGTGAGGGTTTTATTCTTTCTTTAAAACTTCATAGAAGACTTTGACTGATGTCATTTGCTTTTGCTAAAGACAGGGAAAACTAAGTTTAAAATGGAAGCAAACCAACCTCCCCAATTGAGTTCTTGCAGGACACAAAGGACTCTTCTGTCTGAAGGCACTGAGCTTCCCTCAGTCTTTCGACTGAGAAGCCCACTGCTCTACTTCGTGCTCTGGCTCTTGGTTCTGTTTCTACCACTCACCTGCTGATTCTCGCATGCTGCAGCCTTCTGTCTTTGGAACAAGAAGTTTCCAATTCTGGCTATTCATTCCATTTTAAAAAGAAATAGTTTCATTGGCATATATTTCATATATCACACAATTCTCTAGTTCAGTCACATTAGTCAGCATTATACAATAATCTCCATTATCAAATTTAGAACATTACTTCCTGCTCTCATTGTTACTAGCTCTCCCCCTCCCACACCCCTCCCCACATACCCCACAAGAAACCATCAATGCAGTCACTTTCTCTAGAGCTCTACCTATCCTGGATTTCATATACAAAAAACATAGAAAACAAACACATAAAAACAAAACAAACAAACCAAACCTACTGTCTTCTGCATGACAGTGAAGCTGTTCACATCCCTGGATGGGATTCATTGGAGGTGCAAGCCATGTGTGGATCCAGCACAAGGATTCTGGGTGCCCACTGCCCTCCATAGCCTGCTGCAAACCAGATGTTCACAATTGAAGCTCTGATACCATTTCCTTTTGTAGATTTGGATTTTATCAATCACATTCCTTACATCACACAGGTTGGTGTGCTTATTCTATGCATGAAGAGCAGATGCTGCAATCACATGCTGCCTATTTGAAGACAAGCCTTGAAGACCCCAGACTCTGTTCTTTCTAATTCTTTTTTAAAAATCATTTTATTGGGGGCTCATACAACTCTTATCACAATCCATACATCCGTCCGTTGTGTCAAACACTTTTGTACATTTGTTTCCCTCCTCATTCTCAAAACATTTGCTTTCTACTTGAGCCCCTGGTATCAGCTCCTCATTTTCCCCCTCCTAGCTCCAGCCTCCCAAATTAACCCTTGATAATTTATAAATTATTATTATTTTGTCATATCTTACACCGTCTGACGTCTCTCTTCATCCACTTCTCCACTCTCTGTCCCCCAGGGAGGAGGTTATATGTATATCCTTGTAATCAGTTTCCCCTTCCTCCCTCACCTTCCCTCCACCCTCCCAGTATCACCACTCACACCATTGGTCCTGAGGGATTCATTTGTCCTGGATTCCCTGTGTTTCCAGTTCCTATCTGTACCAGTGTACATCCTCTGGTCCAGCCAGATTTGTAAGGTAGAATTGGGATCATGATAGTGGGGGGAGGAAGCATTCAAGAACTAGAGGAACATTGTATGTTTCATAATTGCTACATTGCACCCTGACTGGCTCATCTCCTCCCCGAAGCCCTTCTACAAGGGAATGTCCAATTACTCACAGATGGGCTATGGGTCCCTACTCCGCACTGTCCCTCATTCACAGTGCTATGATTTTTTAGTAGTTGATGCCTGATACCTGATCCCTCCCCTCCGATACCTGATCCCTCAGATGCCTGATCCCTCTGATACCTGATCCCTCTGATGCCTTGCAGAGTGGTATGCTTCTTCCACGTGAGCCTTGTTGTCTCAGTTAGATGGCCGTTTGTTTATCTTCAAGTCTATAGGACCCCAGATTCTATAACTTTTTATAACTGGGTACCATCCACTTTCTTCAACACATTTGCTCATGCACCCATTGTCTTCAGTGATCGTGCCAGGAAGGTGAGCATCTTAGACGACCGAATTGTTAGAACAAAGTGTTGTTGTGTTGAGGGAGTACTTGAGTAGGGGCCCACTATCCATGTGTTTCCTTAATACTAAACCTATAAATATGTGTACATAGATTTATTCCCCCCCTCGTATATAAATATAAATATATTTACATCTGTATGTTCTTTCTAATAGCTGGGCGCCGTATAGCTTTCATCACACTTTCCCATAGCATCCCATAAAATTTAGTCATCTCTTCATTAATGCAAGCATCGAGTAGGGCTATATCGTAACAACTTTGTTCTTAGATTTGGGCTGTAATCAAGTGTGAGCCCCAATCCACTCATATATCTATGATTCATATCTGGTTTTTGTTCACAGAGACATCTCTTCATTCTTGATAATAATGCGATCCCCACTTCTTATTTTGGAAATGGCTCATTTAAAATCCAACAGGATGGCAAAACTGATTATTTCCCTGCTTAGATTTCCAAGTTTTAACCATAACAATAAACCCTACTAACAGTTTTGCAAAACTGAGTCCTATTATCTTTCAGTCTCTTCCCCTACATTTGCTCACTCAGTCCAATTGGGAAAATGTCATCTGACTACGTTTGGACTATGACTAAACGAGCCATATCAACATTGTGTTGCATAGCAGAGTGACTGTAATCCTAATGCAAAAACTGCCTCCCATAAAGATTACGTTCTACAGCAAGGAATATAAGCAAAATACATAGCAATAACTAAATCATAAAATAGAATGGAAAAATAAAAAACAAGAGTTGCCTCCCTCCTCTAACCTGAAAACAGAAAATTAGGTGGAGTCTGGTTACCAACTATTCTCACTAAGAGTACAATAGAAGATCTTGATTAGAGTGGGTAGAAATAATAGAAAATATATACATATTTTTAAAAGAACAAACTTTTTGATCTGAAAGAAACTTATGCAAACTTTAGACCATCTTCCCCAAACAATCTAAGCCCAATCCACTCCTAAAGGCCCCCTGTCAGCCAATCAATACATAGACGGCTAATTTAGCAGTCACACCCTAGAAGAATTTGCTCCTTAGAACAATCAGCTCTCAGGAACCAAAAAAAGGCAAAGTCTGCCAAAACCAGTTGCAACAAGGCAGAAAGGGATACCAAATAAATGTAAATGGAGAACTCAGAGAACAGGAGAGGGCAGGGGGGCTCTGACACTGAAGATATTGCAAACAATGTCTAGGGATAATTTAAGTATGAATTAGTGATTGAAAAACAAATTCTCTTCTTGAATTTTTACTCATTACACAATAAAAAGGATTTTTTTTGTGTGTTGCCCCTCTTGTGAAATTTTGAACTGATGTCTATAACTTTTTTAAATGTACATGTTTCTTGAGAATGAAGGATAGAAAACAAGTTTTATTAAATGTCTATATAATTCTTTAAAATCATATATTGTATACAAAGAACATTAATCTTTTCACAATATGAGAGATAAGTTGTGTACTGTAATTATTTATAAACTAAAAATTAAGACTAAACTTCTGCCAACCAAATATATTCTGACTAACAGTGACCCTCAGGGGCAGTGTAGAACTGCATTTGTGAATTTCCCAGACTGATTCGATGGGAGTAGAAAGCCTCCTCTTTCTTCCAAGGAGCAGCTGGTTGTTTTGAACTGCTGACCTTATGGCTCGCAGTCCAATCCTCATTAAGGCTTCCTCTTTATAAGATGAATAATTAATCCACATTCCCACAAAATATTCATGTAATTTAGATAAAGAAAAGACATTTATAATGAAACAAAAATGCAGTAGTTCATTTTGTTTTATAAAAACATGTTTTGACATAAGTGTTTATAATATGGTTTTT